GGGGCCTACATTATCTCAAGCTCACAAAGAGATCACCCTTTCATTTACCCGCAAGTTCATATCAGACTGTCAAAAAATTCTTATCAATCCATTTACCTCAGAATTGTTTGGAAGACTGAATTCCTCCTATATCTTCTCAGAGGTCATTGTCGATGATGCAGGAAGGGTGTTCACAATTGGAGTGCAGCAGTATGACGAGTTTCGTCGCACTAGATTCGTCCATGGAAGTAAAGATGTTATCAAATCAAAGGTAACAAGAAACCTGTTGTAGCTTCCGTACAGTGCCGAGGATGTCGGATTTGAGAACCCTCGCATCAAGGTCACCCAGCAACTGTTCAACAAATTGAGAGATGCTTGCAAGAACCGTGAATCGGAGACAAAGAAACTTTTTGAGGGAGAGATAACCGGATTACCTGAGTGCTTCATCAAAAAGGATGGATCTCCTTATCACAGTTCAAAGTCACAGATTTTGGCTGACATCACCGAAAACGCGGTTACACCAAGTCCAACAAATGTCAAAGGTCTCGTTGTTAACCTTTTAGTGATCATCCGAGCGCAGGCTGCAGTCTTTCCAGAGGGGTCAACCTTCAATGAATTTGTTTCCAGGGTCCTGCAGAGCATTGAGAACACTGCCACACGCCTGGGCGCGTCTCGAATCGATATTGTAGCAGACCAGTATAACCCGTTAAGCATCAAGAGCCCCACCCGCTCGGAAAGGAAGTCCAAATGTTCAAAACAGCAAGTTAACTTTACTGGTGATAGCACTGACCCGAAGGATATGTCTAAATCCTTTCTCACAGATGATCAGAACAAGACCAGACTTAATGCACTAATTGCGGAAAGCTGTGGTAACCCATTCTCCAGGTCCTGGAAGAAAGATTTCTGTGTCACTAATGGTCTTGGAAATGTTCTACCGAATGCTGGAGAAAGGACTATATACATGCCAAAAATGGAAACTCTATAAGAGGCGGGCAACAGGATGGTGTGCCATATAATTGACGTGTTGGCAGGTAGTTTATCGCGATTGACTGAACGGACAGTTGATTCGGACGTCATTGTCATTCTTCTCGCCTTTACGCCCCAGTTCCTCAAGATCGACCCTGACGTTGAGCTTCATGTTGATTTTAACTCTGGAACAAACAGGAAGAACATTCATGTCAATGTTTGTTATGAGTCACTAAGGGAGGACGTCTGCTTAGCCTTGCCATTCTTCCACTGCTTCACTGGCGCCGATTCTACCTGCTCTTTCTACAAGGTGACCAAAAAAATGTGGTTTTCTTAATGGAATAAGTGCTCGATGAGGGATGAACTGACAGAGGCATTTAAACAACTAGGCTGGTGCCCAGCAGAACAAGTGATCTTCAGCACAGAAAAGATACTTGTGGATTTTGTGTGCTATGTATACTCAAAGAGGGCTGTGTACCAAGATCTTAATGAACTGCGGTTCTCAATGTTCCAGGCCTCCGGTTCTGATGAGTTAAGGGACCTCCCACCTTTATTAGATTCTTTCAGACTGGCGGTACGTCGCAGCGCCTATCAGGCAGGATGGGTGTAAGGTAACACCCTCACTCAGATCCCCAGCCCTTCTCTTGAGATGTGTGGATGGAAACTCTATCAGAACCAACTCCACATTCAATGGACCACAAACGCAGCAAGACCAAACCTGAGATCGTGACTCAAGTGTCAGTCATGCAAATGCGCTAAGAACAATGTCATGTGCCTTTCTTTCTGCACTTGCACCAGGAAGTCCACAAATCTCTAATTGAAGCATGTACAGGATGATATGCAGTCAGTGTGGGCTGTGTATGTAACAAGTGACCGAGGACGATTGCGGACTGTCAGTCTGTCAGATTTTGACTACGTGTACTATCAGGTGAAACCGAATTTCCAGGAGTCTGAAAGTGTATCATGTGTATCTAATAAATCCTTTGACCTCAAAACCCTAAAATTGACTCTAACTTTTTGAGAAAATAGCCGAGATACGTGAAAACCCATTTTCGGGCCCGCGAGGTGAACCCGAAAAAACGATATCACGTGACCTATAAGGAATTTTGGTTCCAAACCACGCCCAATCGATTCCTTGATGTTCAAAACCCCTAAATCGACTCTACCTTTGCTCAAATCGACCAAAGAAGGGCAAAGATATGGCAAATAATAGTTTTTTAGTTGAGGAACATATGAACCTAGATTTGATACCCAAAAATGTTTTTCATAATTTGCAGGTAAATGTGCATAAGCCTCCTGACTAACAGGACTTGTGTGGGTTGTTTTACTGGTCAGCTTATACCATATGTTAGTAGCACAGTGTACATATGGTCCACTGGATATTACATCTAGCGTAAATTCCTATCATCAAGTGCCAGATCCTATTCCTTTAACGTTTCTAGTTTAGGAATAACTCCACGAACGCTGATTTTTTGACAAACAATTGACAAATATCCATCCGTCTGTGTGATAACAACCAACGTTTGTCTCTCATAAAAGTACTGCCGTTGGCTGATATAAAACATTAGCTCTCTTGTTGTGCTAACATATTCATATTTGCGAAACCTAACCCTAATGTCAATAGGAGTATGCTTGGAACCCTTTATCGCTAATTAAAAGCATGGAATCGCAAAAACAGTAACAACAACAACTGCCAGCTCGCGCGTGGTTATACGTGTAACGTATAGAAGTTGAGCATATATCTTTGGCGTGTTAGGGCAGACATGACGTATATTCATTGGTACCGCGCATCGCGACGCAGTTGAAACTAACAAACATAATACACGCAAACACACATAACCGTCGTTCAATAATGGCGATCAGTGTCACTATGCAATACGTGAGAATCGCACCACATGAAGCACTAATGTGTGATGTACTGCCACCAGATAGCGCTAGCGGCGTCAACACGTCATTTCCGCGCGGTCGTCTCCGCAGTGGCCGTGGGTGCCAGATATGTCGTAGCAGATATATAGATAGTTGCCGCATCCTCGATCGATCTTCATGGGACATCGACAACAATGTCCTTCAGCTACCAAATATCTTTTCACCAGAGAGTTTCTTCTGGTAGCATCGAACCTATGAATAACAATCAGTGGCCATCGCTATTGCAAAGATAGATGGTTAGATAGGATTAGGGTTGGAAGCGTTAGATGAAGATGCAGTTGGAAGGGGGAGGGTTGCATGTGAAATGAGTGGGGTTAGGTGTGAGATTAGGTTTGCGCTGGGATGAGTACTATTGAGATGAGTGGCATAACAGCATACAAAGTAAATTAACATTAACATTATAAAATAATTAACATTAAAATAGTTTACAGCGAAAAATGTTCATTGATTCATCGGGAAATGTACTGAGTTCTCATAACAGCAGCAGTGATAAGTAATAAAAAGTGTGGAACAATCGTACGTACATACGCTGTGCCTCGTAAGTTGATAACTTAGCAGCTGAGCTTGACGTCGAGGACACCATCGTTAGAACCGCACAGACACAGATGTTCGCCCGTGTTCAGATTGGTGTAGCAAGGGTTGCCTTTACACTGACTGCCGTCGCAGTTTCGCGAGCAGTACGAGTCAATTCCTCTGTCGAATCCGTCCGGTAGTTTTCGGCCTCCGAACAAGCGATCGTGATACCTGGGTAGGTGGGTCATCAAATGTTAATGCGCGAAATATATATGATCTATCTATCTATCTATTGATCTATCTATCTATCTATCTATCTATCTATCTATCTATCTATCTATCTATCTATCTATCTATCTATCTATCTAGCTATCTATCTCTCTATCTATCAATCAATCTCTCTATCTATGTATCTATCTATCTATCTATCTATCTATCTATCTATCTATCTATCTATGTATCTATCTATCTATCTATCTATCTATCTATCTATGTATCTATCTATCTATCTATCTATCTATCTATCTATCTATCTATCTATCTATCTCTATCTCTATTCCTACCCAGCTTTGTTCTCTCTAATCTTACCCGTGATGTTGATAGGCGAGATAACCGAAGTCGTTGGCGTCGTGTTCGTATAAGGGCTCTCGGAAGAAGACCCGCTGTGATCCGGGACCGCAAATGCACTTCCGTCGTCCATCGTACGGATCCAGATGGCAGTTCGCGCGTGGGGGACACTGAACCTCGTCTATGCACTCTTCACCCAGGTCCTGATCTGGAACGAGGGATAAAATGAAGAAATAGCAGTTGCACATGCTACGGACAGTTTATGATGAAAATGTTAGAATATGTAAATAAGGAGAAATTTCGTCGCATTAAATATAGCAGTGCAAATATATGCTAGAATAACGAAATTGTGACTGCTCGAGGAACTTGATTGGTTATAGATAGATACACGAAAAGTTTTTTGTAGTGATTTTTGACGACCGAATATGGCCGATTTACGAGGTGCTATTTTTTATAGTTACGCTGTTATTTATTTGGGGGTATCTGGTATATATATACTGTAAAAGCTATTTGATGTATATACAGTTTATACACCGCCCTCGTATAAATTTACATTTACATCAGATAAATTTTACAGTGGCTTCGTTGTAATCTCTGAGCATCAAGTCGTTAGCTAGAGAAGCCGTGAGGTTATTATTGGCGCTGCGTGTTCATACGTAAATACTATTAGCTGTGAGGGTGAAACGTGTAACCAAAAATCATCTTATGATATAATAAGATCACACATGCACACACAC